AAGTAAAAGCGACCCGAAACTCAGTAAGAGCAATGTCACAGGGTGCAATCTTAAAGCACATGAGAGCACATCTGGAAAACCTGCTGACATACATGAGGTTGACATTGACGCACAAACTATGGCTGACCAGAAACCACTGGCAGACCACACTCCATCTGGATCCAAGCAAGAGAGTCCCGCAGTAGAAACTACAAGAAAGACCACAAATCCCAGAGTCCCATTCCAGACTTCGACATACCTCCCTCGTAATAAGTCTAATAAGCAACATGTCAGTCTAAAAATGACAATGCATGAGTAAAAAACCATATTCCCAAAAACGTCATCAATCATGTGAGTAAGAATACCCCTTCTCGAACTAGCAGTAACATGCTTAGCAATGCATCTAACCTGGGAATGCAACGTAGAATGGATCCTCAAGATATATGGAGCAATGAACGGGACTCATATAGACACCATACTAATGAAAATTCTCGTCCAAACTCTCGCACTATCTATGTTAAACCTCATCAACATAATGAGTATAGATCGACACGTGATACCCCCAATAACTTCACTCACACACGTGATGCGAGCCAATATGCATACGACTATGAAAGCCCCACGAGGTACAACTACCAAGGTAATCTTAACATAGGGTACCTGGGTCCAGCAAACTGCAACGCAAATTGCAAGGTAAACTATATTTCACCAGCAAATGAACGTAGATGCCCACCCATGGATGCTAAAAGTCAAAACATGCAACAGGATTATTTTCGGATGCAGCAAACAATAGCCCCGCTCGCGGCACAATTCATCCAGGAAATAGTACACACACTGACTCTGTCTCACCTCAGGGCCCCTCCAAACATAACGTAGGGATAGTAACAAGTAACCATGTTAACCTCTCCTCCAATAACTCTGGTTTACTAACGATTATGCTCCTGAATGCTAGATCTCTCCTTAATAAAATAACATCGCTTTGCTACCTGGCATACACAGAACGGCCAACACTACTAATGGTGACTGAAACCTGGCTTTCTACTGATATACCTGACACAAAGCTAGTAATAGACAACTACGACATCTATAGGAACGATAGAGTTAACAAAAGAAGAGGCGGCTGCTTAATATAAGCCTCTGAATCCACTAACTCCAATACGTTCAATAACCCAACTACTGACAAACTCCCAGGATGTAGGTGGATAAGCATCCACACAAACGAAAATAAAATTCTCGCGGGATGTATATACAGACCCCCTAATAGCTCTGAAATGACTGATATAACTATTGGAGAAATACTAGAGTATGTAGCTACGCTGGACTTCGACTACAAAGTAGTTCGTGGCGATTTCAACTTACCTAGAGTAAACTGGGATACCTGTACAGGACCTAGAATCCATGACGAGCTACTACAAGCTATAGACGTAGGCGGAGGGAGCAGTGCGTACGGCTCCCTACAAGAAATGAAAACACCCTTGACTTAATCCTTTGTCATGAAATAGAGCCCATCTCGATAGAGGTGGGAAATAAACTCGATTACGGTGATCACAACATATTGTGCTGCACGCTACCCCTCCGACTAGCAACTAAATACACACCTGAAAACTCCCCTGTGCACTATCAATATAGGGACTATAAGAATGCCGATTGGGAATTCCTATCAGATCTGTTGAGAAGTTCTGACTGGGAAGAATACTTCATCAACAATAACTTAGAAGTATCACTTGAGACTTTTTACAAAACAATTGGCTCAGCAAGAGACACAATTGGGCCCCTAAAATCTACTCTAAAGACAATAACTCCATTTATAGACCGCAAAACGCGACTAATCCTAAAGAAATTGGAAAGGAAATACCATGTATTTAAGGAATTTGGTGCGTTAAACCAAATACATGAAACTCTTCAACTGCTTGAAGAGGAACACAAAATGATGTCACAACTGGAAGCAAATAAAGCGCTTGTGGGTAACTCCAAAATTCAAGAACTTTGTAGGATATTGCAGAAACGTCTAAAAAGCAGTAAAGACAGTAATGTAAGGAGCTTGGAACATAAGGGTATAATATGCAATGATCCACAGGTTATAAGTGAACTACTCAGTGTGTGGTTTTGCAATGACGCCAGAGTGCACCCGACCCCAAATTTCCAAATGACCTGCAAAAGTAACCACAAATTAGGCGAAATACACTTTAATATACAGAGTATAGACTCAGTGATTAAAACATTGAAGTCTAACGGTAGTACTGGAACAGACGACATACCATCTGTCATATGCAAAAATGGTAGCACGGAAATGCTGGTCTTGTTACTTAGAATATTTACTCTCTCGTTGGAAACTGTAATTTATCCTGAAGCGTGGAAACCACATACATATTACCTAAGTACAAAGCAGGAGCCAAAACCAGTGCATGCAACCATAGACCTATCAATATAACACCGGTAATATCACGAATAATGGAGAAAGTGGTTAAAGACCAAGTGTCAGACAACTTACTAGAACATGAACTTATCAATCCATCACAACACGGATTCCTCAAGAACAGATCATATGCCGCCAGTCACATAGACATTTTCAGCGAATTTACACGAAGTAGGGACAACAGAGAACTAGTAATTGTGCTATATTTCGATATGACAAAAGCCTTCGACAAAGTTCCCCATAATCTGTTAGTCAGCAGGTTATGCTCACTAGGGATATGTGACCCTCTCCTGAGCTGGATAAAATCATTTCTCTGTGGCCGAAGTCAGACAACGAAAGTTGGCTCGATAATCTCAAGGCCTAAACCAGTAAGTAGTGGTGTGATCCAGGGAAGTGTATTAGGCCCACTCTTATTCATAACATATATAAACAGTATCTGTGAATGCTTTAGTGTAGGTAAACCAATACTATATGCAGATGACTTAAAAGTGACGTATAAATGCAAGAATACAGATCTTGGAATAACAGCAAACGCCATACAGCAAGAATTAGAAAAAAATGGACAGATGGTGTGACACCTGGCAACTCCAGTTTAATGTCGAAAAATGTGGCTGGCTCTGCATAGGTTGCAACAATTTAGAACTTGACCTGACAATTCAAGGCCATGCACTTCAACGACTGGAATCTGTACTGGACCTAGGGCTGAAATATTCACATAACTTATCATTTTCTGAACAAATCTCCAAACAAGTGTCAAAGTCACACAGACTTATCGGCTTTCTACTCAGGAACTTCTATAGAAATTAGTCTAGAATTCTGTTGTACAAGGTTTGTGTGCGTCCTTTATTTGATTACTGTTCATTCATGTATAGTATCATACGCATAGAGGACAAATTGAAAGTCAAGGGAGTGCAGAGGTACTTCACGTTAAAATTACTCGGAACCGGAAATGGTGCGAACTACTCCACTAAATGTGATACCCTGGGATTAGAAACACTGTGGCTAAGACACCTGAGACTAAACTTAACACTTTATTATAAGCTTCTAAACCACTTAGTTTTTACCTCTACTAATGGCACTCGACCTTCAGATGACAATGGCTACAAACTAAGACACACTAAGGGTACGGTAGCTATCGAACAATGTAAAACAGCCACCAGGCAAAGTTCTACTTGATTAGGTATGCACAGATATGGAATAAAATACCAATGTAAATGCGTCAAGCAAGTACATTGGCCTCCTTCAAAAAGGTGCTTAATGACAGACTACAAGAGTTTGCAAACAATAGTGGTTCTAGTTCCTATCTGAGAGCCTCCGAAATTATAGGTCCATTTAATGTATAAGCTTAAATACTACACCTGTTGTTTTTTGCCTATATTTATAATTCTAGATAAAACATTAACGGTTAAGATACGTGCCCTCGAACAGACAAGAAATTTCGTTTCTAAAACTTCTACTCAACACAATAATTGGAATAAAATGGACATAAACCGACAACATGAAAAAGGTATAACTCACCACAACATCACACGGACAGATGTACGCTCGTTGGGCACCTTATATCCCTCACCAACTACAAACCACCTTTCCTCAGATAATGTGATGAACTTATATCTGTAATGTTGCTGAGCAGCTAATATTCTCAACTCCTGTCAGAACAGCTGAAATTCATAAACCTTCCTTACGCTAAGAAAATACCCACAAGCAGTAGAAATCCATTAATTAATGCGTCTGAAGCTTATATATTTACTCCCAACAATGACATTGCAGATGAAATGAGATAAACATATCACTGATTTCAAAATAACACATCAATGAACTATAATTCAAGGACTCTGCATACAACAAAGTTATGTATGAAAATTAACCTCAAGCTTTATTTTTTTTCCCAGGCACTTATAATCCATCCACCAAAGACCGGGTGTTTTTGTTAATGCGAAGACAATATTTCTGTATTTCCTGATGTGTTGCACTCACTGACAAGCCAGCAGATTTTTACAACTGTGTACAGAAATGATTGTATATAAGTGAAAAGGCTGTTTTATACTACTGGGATTAACATTTATCAAGTGCATGTATAATCTCCAGCGAACATGTAAGGCATATCTTGCTACTGCCTGTAAATTGTGATTGAATTATATGGTTCTATTTCTGTAACAATTTGATGATGCCTGTAAACTGGCGTCCCTCATGAACTGTACTATGAGAATAAACTTATTTATTTATTCATTAATAGCTTGCGTCTTGTTAAGGGCAGCGACTTCTGGTGCAACTCACTCTTTACTTTTTCCGAGCTACAGTCGATTGAGGTTTAGGAGGAGATTATGAAATTAATGAAGCGGGTATTTCAATCTTATCTTATCCTTATCAATCTGTTCTACGCGACAGTGTACACAGGATCGTCTATTGGAGTCTACAGAAGCGCAGATGTTTCTGCATATATGTTCAGCGCCTTTCCTGCATTAACAAGGCCTCGTAACCAGCCAAGTATTCTTCTGACGCATATGGTGTTCATTTTATGGATTAACCGCTTCCGAAATTCGATGTTATGTGAAGATGCAGATTTGGGCCACGTGCGAATGACCCAGAGATACAATATACGTCCATTCCTCGAGTTGAATAATGTGGCCGATCGGTCGATTCTAAATAAGCCCTAGGCGCTGAATTCTCCAACATGAAGTTGACCGCAGGGTTTAGGGAACCATTTTTGGTAGCTTGGTGGCTAAGATAGCTGAGAATAGCTAGTATTAACTGCAACAGGGAAGCGAAACGTGATCAGGAGAGCCTCGCGTGCGTGTGGATTTGTGTGAATGGTTAATAATTTCTGAGTGCTCCCACAGTGGAGGTTGGTTTCTTCTTGGAACATCTGAAGGAGAATGAGCATCAGTGTTAGGGGACGCCAGAATGCAGGGAATAAATGTGTGAGACGGATTTCACTTGGGTTTTAGAGTCTTGTTGGTGTTCAGTTCTCTCTGACGACAATATACCCCTTCAAGTTAAGTCAGTGTGTATACTTTTTGGAGCTAATATATTCTATCGCTCCCTCTAGGAGAAGAGAGGCAATGTAGCTGGATGATGACTGTTCGGGGGAAACGCCATTATTTTGTCAAAACCTCAACAGAAAAGATCATAATTTCACCGTCAGATCCGTTATCCTCGCACCACTGCCTTTGGAATCAAGCTAATCTAAGTTAGGTGGGTGGTGGGAAATGTTCATTGAAGCTTACCAAAGAACAGCGGTTTCCAACTCAAACCTTGAAGTCAGCCCAAAGAGATAATGTGGCTTGCAGTAAACGGCGTACAGGATATTGTTTGTTCAAGTTCATTACACAACACTGGATATTGAATATTGTTTAAGTTGTCATTATTCAGTTTCGGTTTTGTGCATTTACACCAAACTTCGTAATGGAGGATTTGTGTAGACAGCGCATTTTGGAGGATCTAGCACTGCTGGAAAAATCCACTAGTTTGTGTTGATTTCAACTGTATTTATCTTGCTTTTAGATATACCACCTACAGATACTGAGAAAGTCAAAAAATGTATGGTATCAAGAAGGTAAGAGAAACATGATAGTTTCGATCGATCTCATAATACGATCGAATCGGTGATGAGTGTTCCGTTTTTAATCACACATATTTGTCTAGCGTGAAGTAGAATTGTGAATGCGCATACGCTTCCCTTGCATCTTGTGTCTAAACTTGTCAAAGTATGCTCAGTGGTTTTGACAGCTAACCAGCTAGCTTAGGCTAGTTAGTCGTGTGTCATATATGCACACTCCTACCATGTATATAATGACTCACACACGCTTTGATAATGTTATGTCATCGATTATTCTCTAACGATGTTTTGTACGCGTGTTATGGTGTTATTCTGAGTGATTTACGAAACGCTTGTCTTGGATTTCGTTTGAGCACTCTTTCTACAATTCTTAAAGACATATAGGCCGCAAGCTATCTGTTTGGATTAAGGGTTGTAATAAAGTGTACGGATATGCAGACCTGTGTTAACGCTTTCCCACAATGTATCTGTGTTTTCCACTCGTCTACTCAATGAGTCAGTTGATGACACAGCCATTACTTCTTTTTGGAGTCCAATATATTCAGTATCGCTTTTACTAGCTGGTATAAACCAATTTGATTTCTTTGTGCTCGCCTCTTGATTGTGAGGTATAGGTTCCTGATTTTCGGTAAACTTCTGCGTAGCTCATCCGGTCAATCGACTGTCGTACCTTTGGTTGACTCCAAAAGGATTAATTATGTGTGGTTTGTTGTATGAGGTGTGTTAAGACTGTTACCACTGTGAATAGAGTTGATCCTTTGACCAGTTAGTCCTCCGGTGTCGTCGACAAAAGAAAAGGGATGATAAAAATAATGACAGATGTAATTAGTGTAGATTATTCAGACAAAGAGACAGAAAAAGAAATAAAGAAAACATAGAAACAGACAGCTGATTAAATTTGAAGTTGATATATATACATATATCACTAATAGCAATGGTAAGTGTAGTTAGAGTTGCCAGGAGATTAATGCGGGAGAATGTAAAGATGCAAAACGACGAACTTAATTGTCTACCCCGAATGGTGTATGGGATTTTAGGGGGGGGGATGGGCCATTTGAACGCAGTTCATGTGTCGCTGCATGATTGTCCAGCCTTCGCTTAAAGGTGTCCACAGACGTAGTCAGTTATGAGTGTTAGTATCTCGGTGGGAGAAACAGTATTCCACAGCAATATATTTCGTTCCTGGTTGTTGGGCGTCTCTGCTATATCCTCTTAGATATCTCCACTAGGTGGGAGGGCAAAGAGAAGAGAAATCAGGCCTATAGTCATTTCTAAACGTTCTAAACATTGTAACTGGACCCCCTCTGTCTGTGGTACCATTTGAAGATAAGATCCACTAGTTGGTGTCAGTGCCCTCAACTCTTTCCCAGCCCACCCTCTCTAGCTAACGTTGCTCAATGAGGAAGACGATAGCCCAGCATGCGTAACACATGTCCAGACCACTTCAATCGATGCAACTTCATAGCCTCATTGATTCACTTACCCTCCTTATTGTTATTATATTAGTGTTAATGCCTAATATTGTGTGGCTAACCTCGCCATTGCTCGCATTGTTTTACTGTCTAGGACACGCATGGCTGAAGATGGCCAGCCTCTTCAAGTCTTCGTATCTTAACACGCAGTTAACTTTTCTGTAGTACATACGTCTTTTGATGGGCAACAGGAGTCACGCCCTATTTAGTTCAGCTTAGGCTACTACTGGATAATATCACTCAGACATAAGCACAATTAAGGTGGCTGATAACCCAGTAAATAAAACATGTTCCCGTAAATTGAGTTATGGATTACTTGTTTGTATTTCTAAATTCAGTCAGTTGGCGCTCTTGGAGGTATTTTTTCGCTTACTGTGTAAGGTAGTGAATTACCTAGATGCACATAAAATGACCCATATAGGAAGGAGTGGATTGCCTTGTTGATTTTGTTGAAGTGCTAAGAACCAATGACTTGAGACTGTTGGTGACATGGCTCAAAATCGTTTTCAATGCATTCACTCTTTAAGACCTTCCATTCCCATTCAATCTCACGTTTTTCCATGTTACTATTCTTTCGTATATTTCTGTACATTATAGTTCTTTTTTTGCTGATCCTTCATATTCTAGGTGGTTTTTGGCAGGTTGAACTGACGCATTTCAGTCGAAAGCCAGTTTATTCATAGCCTGAATAATATAATCATAGTCCGCTCAATACTTGTCCTGCACTAAGGACGGAAGTTAGAGAACCACGCAAAGAGGAGAGAGTAAATAAAATTCATTATCTCGTAAATTACAACGTTAGTTTTTTAAATTCGTGGTGACCTGTGAATGATACTAAGTAATGTTAACAGCTACCTGAAAGTGAATGGGCTGCACATCATGTTGACGGAATTGCCTCCTATCTCCTCCCTTGTGGAGGAAAGCGCTTTTAGGAAATAAATTAATAATGTGATATGAAAATGCATTCTAAGTGCAGAATTCATTTCAACTGTTCTTGCAACATTTTACCCTTAGTTTTTGCTTTGCTTTGACAAATGTGATATAATTCTTTGAATTTTCTGATGAATTAGCCGAAGGTGTCTGCCTCACGCACACGTACAAAGTCAACGGAAAGAAGGTTGACGAAGCGAAAACCAACAAAGCCAGTAGTCCCACCACACAGTTCAAAGGTATGCAGATTTTAAAATAGTTTTTCATTATTTAAATAGCCAAAAAGAAGAAGGTCCGAACTATCTTCAGATAGTAGTAGTGACTGCCTAAGCAGTGGTGATGAGTGGGCACTTGAGTTACAAAGTGGATGTAGCGGGACAACTCGGGAAATCTCCGGTGAAACAGAAGCCCATTCCGGAACTCATAAATTGATGGAGCTTACCGATTCTGAAGATGATAAGTGAAAATAATAAAGGCAACCGCATGATAGGCAGTCGTTATTCGAAGAGAAACAAAGAACGGCGAAACTACGCTGCAGATATAAAGATCTCTGAAGATGATAGGTACCTGTGTAAGTTTCGTATAGTTTAAAGTAGGTTTACTTGTTATACATCGGGATTTATTTTGTTTGTGTTTGCACACTTAGGTGGTTACCAGATGTTTAAACAACTCTTATTTTAATAAAAGACTGTTAGTTTTGAAGTACTTTGAGATTGTGATTATCACTGTTATCTTTTAAGTCTTTCAGTCAGATGTATCAAGCTGATGGCTCCATAGTGGACGTTTCAACTACATTTTATGGTATGTTTTATCAGTAGAAATTAAAAGTGAATGCGTAGTTTATCCTGCATCTGAGTAACCCGTAAATAAGTATGAACTAAATCCATGCTTGAGGTGTACCACAGTCCTCGAAAGGTTTATGAGAAGGTAGAAATAAGGAAAAGATGGTATTTGATTAACTATGTTTCAGTCGACTAAAGTTAAATGCAAACAGAGAGCAGTTGTACTTGAAGCATTCCATTGGTGTGGAAACACTGAAATGCGGAATTTATTTCTCATAGAGGTCTGTATGAAATTATGTCGCGTAATAGACATAAGTGTTGTCTGTGGTGATTTCAAAAAGTGACTAAGTGTCATTGTTGTTGCTTCAAATAGTTATTAACACTAAGTCTTCACTCTTAAAAGTAGGTGTCATCATGAGAATACAATTTGTTGTAGAATTTAGTAACCAATTAAAAACCTTCTATAGGAATCGTTCTGATTTTTACTTCAACCCTTTGTATTATTCAGATTGCTACACATGCAAAGGCTCAGTGATGGATGGTTGTTTTGAGCATCCTGTCCGATGGATTGAGAACTTACCTTTGGTTGTTTGCAAACAAGCAGAGGGTATATTTGCTTTCCATCAGAAAACTAAATGTGTATGCGGACAGTTGTATTATGAACACGCTGCGAAAACTGCGCCTGTTGAATGGATCAAAATTTTAAGATCCCGAATTCCTGGTGCAGGTCTTGGCGCTTACGCCAATGCAAAGATAGAGTGTGGTACAGTCTTCGGTCCATGTGGTGGACAAGTTGCTTACGTGGATGGAATGAGTAGCTCCGAGCAACTCAAAGTAAGTCTCTGAATTTGTACTACTCTAATCTCTGTGACATTTTCGCCTACACACAAAGTGATTTTATAACCTTACTTAACTATGAATGTTTCGTTTCAAGCACTGCATAAGAATCCAATTGCTTCATCAATTTCAAAGATCACGAGGAGGATATGCGTGCTTGTAAGGGAGAATGTGGATGGTGTCAGGAGGTGCTGCCTGCAACCATCTACATTCTCTCTTACAAGCACGCATATCCTCCTCGGGATCTTTGAAATTGATGAAGCAATTGGATTCTTATGCAGTGCTTGAAACGAAACATTCATAGTTAAGTAAGGTTATAAAATCACTTTGTGTGTAGGCGAAAATGTCACAGAGATTAGAGTAGTACAAATTCAGAGACTTACTTTGAGTTGCTCGGAGCTACTCATTCCATCCACGTAAGCAACTTGTCCACCACATGGACCGAAGACTGTACCACACTCTATCTTTGCATTGGCGTAAGCGCCAAGACCTGCACCAGGAATTCGGGATCTTAAAATTTTGATCCATTCAACAGGCGCAGTTTTCGCAGCGTGTTCATAATACAACTGTCCGCATACACATTTAGTTTTCTGATGGAAAGCAAATATACCCTCTGCTTGTTTGCAAACAACCAAAGGTAAGTTCTCAATCCATCGGACAGGATGCTCAAAACAACCATCCATCACTGAGCCTTTGCATGTGTAGCAATCTGAATAATACAAAGGGTTGAAGTAAAAATCAGAACGATTCCTATAGAAGGTTTTTAATTGGTTACTAAATTCTACAACAAATTGTATTCTCACACAGCATTTCCAGCCCCAGTGTGCTTCGGCTTCTGACACAAACACTCACATTTGCAGCACACAATGTTCAGGTCCCTCCACTCCATTTATTCAGAGGATGCTTACTGAAATCTGAAGAAGGTGATGCCGAGACTTTGAGGAGATACCGTCATGTGTGCGTTTGTGTCATTTGTTTTCCGTGTAGACAGACCCGTCTCCCTGATGACCTATGGAATACTAATGGCGTCCCAGTGACTTTGTGCATGCAGTTGAGGCTTCGAATCACAATATTTGGAGAATATTATGCAGCATTGTGCTGGAATGAACGCGCAAGCACTGAAATCTCCGAGGTGATAGACAAGAAACAGTAGTGACGCTTTAAATTTTAGTGGTGAGAGTATCTGAGATAGAGTTTTGGTGATGTAATGGGTGGGTCAGTGGAGAAATCGAATGGCTAGGTGAATGGCTGTTCATGTGGTAGAGTGGTGCTACTCAGAGATTCCTGCTGTCCAGAGTAGTAGATCGGCTGAGTGATGGACGTACTAGTATTGTTCACCTTGTCTGTGGCTATCCAATCTGGACAGTGTCCCACAGAACACTAATGGACTATGTAATTTCCACCAGAGTGAATTGTATACTGTTAGGAATTCAGTGGTGTGACTGAAAGCTGTTTCCCACTGGTCAGAAGACGACTCCCTGTTGAATACAAATACTGTTGTATTGAGATTGTGAATGAGAAGGAAATCCTGTTTACTGATATGCATTCTGTGTATAAACTCGGAGTGAAACTTCGCCATCTCTCTGAAGGGTTGTGTTTCTGCCTGTATTGGTATATTGTTTAATATTTAATCCTTGTTTTCTCTTAAACTAGACGAATCTGAATGAAAGGGCCACTACCCAACCTGGAGACACTTGGAATATAGGAATTGGGAAAGCTGGAAGATCCAGAACACGCATGAGGAACAATGGGTCAGTATTACCTAAATCGTGTAATATAATTTGATAATTGCTCTTCTGAATTTGTATGATCTCTTTAGAAATACATGTTTGATTTTTCTGTGTTATCTTGTTCAAGTGACTGTGTAGAATGCTTGAGAAGAGTTGGTTCAGTGAATGACGAAGGGAGTGTTGAAGTATTTCGTGTTGAGCATGTCATATCTCTTCGTGTCTTATAGCGTGACTGAAAATATGTCCATTTTCTCCAACGTCCGAATTATAAAGGTGGACTGTGTAGTCATAAGTTCTAATCAGCTGTTGAAATAGCATGGGAAATTACAATGTGAGAGATATTAGTTTCCAGCAGCATGTTGTTCACCGTTGGGTTTTTTGATACAGGCTTTTTGAAGCGAAGTAGTCAATGCTGTCAATGACGATGTGATTCAGTGAAGCACTGTAAACCTTGAAAGCTCTGGTGAAGTGTTGTTTCTCTATATAAGGTTCACTGACAGTGTGAGTAGATAATCGACCTTGGTGACTTAGGATTACCAGCTAATTGGATAATCATGTAATCAGTGAGGAAATGTCTCAGAAACTCAGTTGTAATGTACTTGAGTCGGGCTGGAATGCTATGGTGTGTGTGCACCACTCATCTTCTTCGAACCAGGAAGGAGTAGATATCAAGTACTTCTTTGTTTCCAATGTTTCTCTAGCTGATACTGTATCGAGATGAAGTTGATCTTGAAACCAGTTAAGTAAGGAAATTCAAATAACAATGAATGGAATATCTGACCAATAATAGTAGGTGAAATGTAACTGTTAAATTATTGGTGCTTCCTATGTTCCGTGTGGTGATGAGGATGCGTGACAATTCCCACAGATATTGTCACAGAGGCTTTATTCATTGCTCAACTTGTCAGACACTCGATGGAAATGTGAAGTTTTTAGGCCGAAGTTGGCTTTCCTAGTGTCGCTTGTTTATGCTGAGTGTGGCAGATTTGCACATTGTTGTTACTACTCTTATTTTGAGATATTTGGCCTAGTGGCATGGATGACTGTTTCACGTTTTCTGATGTATATGGCTTGATAAATGGAACTTCACAAATATTCTACACAACTTTTCGCTACACTGAATTAAATGAATGTGGAATATCGGTAATCTCTCCTCCAGTTGATCACTGTTAAGTGGGGTGGTGTGGGGTGGGGGTCACAATTGACCATATTCATAGTGTTCCGGTGATCGTATGTCCTCAAGACATGAGTTTGATGAATGCATCACAATGCATCTCGTGAATATCATAGTTATATTGGTATGATCTTTCTGCCTATTATAACTTTATTAGGTGAACAGTAAGATTTCAGCTTTGAACTGTAGATTACTGTCTTACTTCGTGGGGAACAAGAGATGTCGAAGTGGAACAAACTGATGCTGATGCACTGCTTATTGGAGAGGTGAAGGAAAAAATCTTTCATTGAAGGGATCCACTTTAGTAGGAATAGGTAGGTAAATTATGCCTGTTGATGTAGTCAGTCCTTCCTACGAAATTGTATTGCCTTTGTAACAAACAAATTCAACAGTGTATTGAAAACGAAAACTTGAATTGATGCATTATCCTCCGGAAATTTTTGGTGACATCATTTAACCGCCTTTACATCACCACAACAAGGTTTAAATAACCCTCATAGTAGTATAGTATAGTGCTGAGTAATGCTCAAGAACCATTTTGTTTTGATTAAAGCTTGATTGCACACCGTATTTTTGGTACAGGTGTGAATTTTCAGCATTTTATATCGGTAGCCGAAATTTCGCAGGCCGACCATTGATTTCAGGTGTGCAGACCATGCGCATGGTCGGCGAGAGTCATAACCGCTATGCCAGCGACTTCCTTACAACCATGAAATTGTGTTTATGGTCGATTTCTGAAGGTTAGATCAAATATTTATAGTCCAGCTAATTCTTAAGAAAATCTCGGTGCATAGTAGAACCATACTTATGAGTGTTTCAGTAACAGATATCACAAGAGGAAAACAACAGTAATCACAGAAATCGTTTGATTAAATGAAAATTAGGTGATTCGTGAAGTGAATATACCTGTGCAGTTCACATTGGGCCGTCTGAAGTACCCGAAAATATGGAAGAAATAAGTATTTTGACAATGTGCAGATCCCATACCTGATTGATTCCAACTTCCCATCCGCCTTTAATAAACAGACAGTAAATTCTTTAATTAATGGCTTATTGAAACTTTGGTAGAGGAAATTCTCTGTACCAGTCTGACTCTTTCTAGGGTCGTGTTTTAAGTCTGTCAGTCATATAGCTTGTACATAGAACATACGATCATTTCGATTCGGCGATTGTTGAAGTGTCAGACTAATCGCTTTTGTCTTTTTGTCAAGAATCATTATTCAACGATTGGTTGCATCATATAACAACCAGATATGGACGTGGGAAGTGTAAACGATGCATTCCTAGTTAGTTGTGCTTGTGGTGAGGAGAAGGGAAGACGCGTCACTTTCTACGTCTTGAAGTTAGCATGAAATGGTCACTGTGATAGTCTAGTAGAAATCACTTTATTATTCAGTCAGTCTTTGTCACTTCGGAGAACACTCTGTAGTAGAGATTTCGTAATCACTTATTCACAAAAATGAGTCAAAACGACATCCAGTAATGAGACTGCGTGTTTGGATGCTAGTAGGATCATCCCAGCTGCTGATAGTCTAATATTGAGATGAAGTACAGTGCAGACCAGTTAAAAACACGTTTATTGACACTCCATATTTCAGTTGTCTTACTACTCCTCTTTTCACTAGACAGTTTAATAACCAATGTCCATTATTTAGTAGACAGGGGAAGTGTTGGCATTTTGATTCTCGAAATCTACCCATTAGTTCATGAGGGAAAAGACACTTTTTGTTCAGCGAAGTGATATCTCTCTCTCTTTTCACCGACTTCATTTTCAAGCTGTACAGTCTTATTTATATTATGAAAAGAGAAACAGCGTTTTTTATGCAGCTGACTTAAATTTAGTATTTGTCATCTGAAATATGATTCGACAATTCGTTGAGGATAAACTACCGCTTATTTCCACCTCTATGTGCATATACTCATTCACATGCTCCTGTGGAGCTCGATTACACTGAACGTTGTAAGCGTGTTCTCCGTAAACGCGTAGGTGAACATTACCCGATTTGGTTAATGAAAGGTGAGCATGGATCGACGAAGTCTTCAATTTTTCGACACCTTCTGGTGTCAGGTCATTCAGCCCCACATGATTCATTCTTTAAAGTTACCTAGAGGGACAAATCTAGTCACTTTCAAAAGCTTACATTTTCCCCACTTATGCATAGCCAAAGCTCTGGCTATACATGTACAGAAACCTAAATTGTGGGTTCAAGCATGTTTTGTTGAACGCCTTTCCTTACCTTGGTCATAGTTATGCTCTTTTTTATTTTATCTTAATTTTATCACTTGAATTGCTTCCACTTCACTTGATCTTCGCCGTCTTTACTGTTACCGTCATCGTACTGTTAATGTTTTAGACAACACCTGACCAAACATTCTAAAAGTTTTGTAATCCATCCACTTCAACTCTACCCCCTTGGTACATCATTTTAATTATATATATAAAGGCTTAGGGATTAACTTGTTTGTATGGAACAGTTAAGTTGATTTATAGTGTACAGATGACATATTCCCTCTAGGTGAAGCCGTGGACAAAATTGTGAATATTCGGAAAACCATGAGCAGGCATCTTCGAGTTTCTGGCATGAGATTTACTCCTGTCGAGTCGAGTGTAAGATGAATCTGCGTGACAAATATGCATCAACACCATGTGTAGAGATAGGGACTAAAGTGGTTGACTGTGTTGATCGCTTATTTAGGTAGTTGAATCAACCCTGGTTGACTGAATAATGGTGAAATCTCAGCATGGATACGAAAGGCTCATGTGACGTATGTCAGCTTACGTCATTACTCGCGTAGATGTGATATCCGGCTGAGGTTGAAAAGACCTGTGTAGTGCGCGACAATTTGCGCTGTCCTTCTTTGTGGCATTGAAACGTAGTCATTGAGAATACAAGCTATTCAAAGTCTAGCATTCCCTGTTCACATAAATTTGAAATCTACCTCCGGTGTTAGGCTGTAGAATACGGTGAATAATATTCGGGTTAGGCGTAGTGTTAGGTAAGGAAGGAAAAACGTTTTGTGGGTTTATAAAGACACATCAACTGTGACGGCTAGGACACTTGTTTTGCATACCGAGTTATCGCCTTGCTCGTCGAGCAATTACAGCTAACACAGGGTTAGGTTGTAAAAGAGTTAGGTGTGGTCAAATCGAAGCTTTCCATAATTCCATGAAGTCTTTGACTATTGCTTTGTGGCTGAGACGTAGGGAGTTGTGGATTGCCTGATTGGTGAGATCAAGACATAAAGAAG